GGCTATAGCATGCATACTGCATGCTGCAAACATGCTTTTGAAGCTCGATATCAATGTATTGAATGGCGTAAATATCATTGTCGACAAGTGCTCCCAGGCGAGTAACGCCCTCCATTCCAAGGTGAAGTCATAATACCGTAAACTGTAATAACCGTCTGATAGATTCTACAATGACTGATTGTATAATTTTCATGTTTACTTCTCGGACCTGATATTGCATTTCAAAGAATGAAATTTCGAAAACAAACTTTGGTTGAAGTAAGACTACGAATCCATTGGTTGACATACGTTTCCGTTGTTCACGAGTCTAAAAATAAGATCTAAAATCGCAATAATAACGAAGTGATGCGAAAGCTAAAGTCAAGGTTGACTCGCTCGACATTTTCCTTTGAAACATTATGGCTGGTTATGAAAGTTAGTTTAAGTCAACTGACTTAATCGGTGGATTTGCAAAACATACTTTGAACATATTCCGTTTTATTAGACGAATTTCGCTAAAACGTCTAACTATTACTTGACACTGCTGACTATAAGTTCATATCTTTACCTGACAAAGTCAAATTTTGTACTGAGCGTATCGTGAAATTATTTCCTTTTTTATTTGGTATTAATTATCTTTTTTTCTGGTCTAAACTCGAGAACTTTCGCTTATGTTAATTGAAATTTTACTGTCAATCGACTAAATTTAGATAGAAGTCTTTCTTTATGATATGTTTCGCCGGAAATTATTTAAAAATATTCATTGTACTAACTGCTGAGATTAGTGTGAAGTAGAAAAAAGTACTGCTGGTAATGCTTTGTAACATATGGTTAAAGCTGAAGGCATACTACATACATTATACCAATCACCGAAGGATGAGGGATATTTGTCAAAACGTCTGCAACGCCCAGAAAGAAGCTTCAGAAACCTCAGAGGGTATATATATATATATATATATATACTTATATATATATATACTTGATCACGATCAAATCTGTAGCGCCCAACCAATATTATAGACCATCGAAATACTGCTGTACGAAAGAATTTCTTTTTCGAGGGTGAATTCCTTGTTGATGGACAAGGTACGCATTGAAGCAAAAAATCCGCCTCGCGATTTCGACAACATTCTCGCAAATTACTGGGCAGAACGACTTTTGGAGACGGCATGCACTTACTACATCCTAATTCCCTTCTTTCACATCATCCCCCATCCAGGGAAGCCAACTTCAGAATAGACATTCACAAAATGGAAAAATCTTGACGACTCCACTGTGGAAAGGAAGACGGTCACTATTTTTCTATTTAAGGTTAACGCATCTAGTTTAGACACCCGAAAATTCTCTCAAGAGCTTCACAATTCAGAAAGCTACCCACAGTTGAAACAACAACACATCGATGTGAGCATATATAATACAATAATGGCGCTATTTAAAGGTTAATTCTAAAGATTCTCAACAATTTCTGCAGTTCCAAAAACCGGAATTTAATATTTCATTATATCGCTTAATTGCTTACATAACCAGAGTTCTTTACTTTGAATCTGTTATGCGCGCTTACTTCGGTCGCTATGCTGTACTAGCTAACGTATGAAAATGTTTTTAATTTCCACTCCATTTTGCATATGTTGTTCAAATATATTTTTATGTAAATAAAAAAAAAAAAAAAAAAAAAAGAAACGCAACTACAGCAATGTAGAGAATAAGCATAAGTTTTTAGCCAGATTCAGTCTGACTTTCAGCTCTGACAAAAATGTAGCTTTCGGCTTATGCCGTACAGCTACTATTTTGGCTGTTAATCCAGTTAAATTGGAATTTAAGCCCGAAAAATAAAAATAAAGAAAATGCAACCAAAACAAGCCACAATAATACATACAATCAAACCCTTACATGGCTGTGCATGCTTACATAGGAACAGCGGGGGGATACGTTCAAGTTGCTGTAAATGTTAACTTAATATTAAACCATTCGGATTTTTGTTGTTTATATACATTTCATTGCCGAAGCATATATATATTTTTTTGGGATTATCAAGCAATCCTTTTTTTTTTTGCTTTTTGTTATATTTTTGTTGCTGTTGTATTGAGTTTAAATGGCCGGACTTGCTAACGTAAAATGTAACAAACATATGCGCACTACCACAGGCAAAGTGTTAATTCCATTGGTTTTAATTTTATAAAATGCCTATATCTAGCTATCAGGCTAGAGCTGCCAGCCTTCCAGGCTGCCTACTTGTCCGACCAACTGCCGTCACAAGCGCGAGTGCGATCCAACATAGACATTTGTTTTGAATCGTTGGTTATGCCCTTACAATTGCGCCGTTGTTGTTTTACACACGTTGACACATAAATAAATTAATTGATTCCATAAATGTTGTTGCATGTCGCACATTTTCAATTCATTGCTTCAGTGATAAATTATGTCTGGCTGGCCTGCATGTATGTGAAAATATTTTTGATCTTTTCCTTCAAATTGAACGGAAAGTATTTTTTGATTTTATTTTTTAATAAAATTTTGCTATACTTTAAATATTTTTGCTGTGTTTGTGTTGCTCATAAATCATTTCTTTTATCTATGGAACTTTGTCTTCTCCATTCATTAGATACAAATCACTTTTAAAGACCTTCAACACTTAACAAGTATCGTTTGTATCGTTTTCTTTTCTCTCTTTTGTTTTTTTTTCTTGTTCTCTTGTTTTAGAAGAGCTTAACGTCAAATTTAAAAGCTCGACAGCCACATTATCCAAAAAAAATTTTTATTACACAATAAAACTTTTTCGCACTTAAGTAACTTATAGCCAAACACTTATATTAAATTATAATTTATGGCTCGTGCTTTCGTTGAATGAAAGAACAAACCAATCAACGCAGATTGTTGTACTACTAAGCCCCGCAAATAAATATAAATAGTTGCTTTTCACCAAAAAGGCAACACTTTATGCTTTCACGGTTAAGAATTTCACTTACAAGGCACTTGAATAAGATGTACAGTAAAGAGGAGCACCATTGTGGCTGCTTTTTGGGGATTTGATTTGAGGAATTGTCGCTTTTGTTCTCTTTTGAAAAGCAATGAAAAATTCAACTTATGAACTAGAAGGTAACGATGATCTTGTGAATAGTTCCAGGGAAGTTTGACATTGCATATCAACGGATTCATGTAAGAGCCTTGTGGCGCGAAATTTCGCTTAAGTATAGCTGAGCTAAGGTTTTTGCGCTATTCTTATGCACACCGGATTTAACATATCTTGTTTCTCGGAATACATTTTTTTGTGCCCTACTTACTTAAACCTTTCCTTATTTTTTTAAAATACATTCGGCTTTATTTGTTATATGCTGCTGGCAAGTCTGAATGTTAGAACATTTATCAAACAATAAATGGTTGTCACAAAAAAGGGCTTTGCATTGGCATAGGACAAAGAGGTGAGGAAAGAACCGCTTGTCCACCCACAAAAGCGAAAAGCGACACGTTCAAACAAGTGTTAATCTAAAAGATGAATGCCCGTTCAATATAACGGGCACGGTAGGCAATTCCAGCAGATGTTAATTTGGAAGAGTTTTGCAATATGAGTGCGCACGTCGTCATGATGGATAATCCAACTGCAACGAGTTTTCGTCTATTATGAGAGTTTTCCCCTTCATGATCGGTGCAGGTGAGTCAGTTGGTTTGAAGTTTCTTTTAAAATCCAGCTAACCCTTCTAAAGAAGAGGGCTTCTCTACTAGAAGTATGCATACATGATATTTGACTATGCCCAACTTTCGTCAGTATATTGGTTTTTACACATCGGATCGCGGCTTATTGAAAAAACCATGATTGTCAGTGTGCACTTCAGCAGAGTCATTTTGATTATTTTGTGTTGCGTCTATAGATAGAACTCGCATATCTCACATGTACTCACAGAAGAAGTAATGTTGTGCCCTAGTAAATTCGGTAAAGACTTGTATATGCACATAATACGTAAATCAACCAAGTTGGATCTATAGTGAGCACCTGCAAGGTAATGCATCTACTCTTTCACAAATGTTTTTCTGTAATCTTATAATAATTGAATGTTGATATGTGTGCAGACATTTTAAGTCGGCATTCATCGAAATCCGTTTTTTTCTGGTCGTTTTGCTTTTAGAAAGTAATATATTTTTTAGATGACCTCTAAAATAAAGATGTGTATACATATACATATATATATGCATATATGTACATACACATATAAATTCAAAATATTTCAAATTTATTAACCGCATAAGCAACCGAATACCGAAGAACGGCTTTAAATCTCAAGTGGGGTAAAGTTTACTCTGCCCACTTACTTAGCTGCACTGTGTACTCAACCTATAAAGTGATAACACTTAGCGATTCACTAGCCTGCAACCACCACCCTTCCATCTACTTCTCTTCTCACACGTCTGATCTTCTGAGTGGATGATCGCCACTGTGTTACACTCACAACCTTTCATAGATTAGTCTTAACTTTTTTTGCACAGAATTTAAATATGTCAGAAATGTTTTTCATATAAGTCGAATATGATTGTTTGGGTCAATAATTCGAAATTTTGCGATTTTTTTTATAACACATATAAATTTGGCTGCCATCCTGATAGTTGAGAGTTGTTTTCTAAGGGTGAACTCAAAACTAATTCTAATATCTAAGCTAAAAATCTAAGACTCTATATATGACATAATATATAATGATGGCCAGATGTAACTTTCCTGATGTTAGAAGCGGTACTATGAAACGATACCCAGCCAGATGTAGCCGTGGTAGCATGGACTCTTGGTTCAATGTGAACGACACTTGTCTTATGCACATGATCGCGCTGATTGAACTTTATATCCTTTATAAGTGCCTGTATCGAGGTCTGTCAGTTTCTGTAGAAGATTTTTAGTTTGCCTTCATTTTTGGGCAGATTATTATTTTCCCCTATATATTTCACGTTAAATAAAAGTCAATAAATGAGCAAATTTCGTATTGGATTTTTAGTTTTTTTCCGACGCCTTTTAAAGCCTTTAAGGTAAGGGTTTCCTATCTTATCAACCATTTAATGTAATTATTGTCGGTATATAATTAAACGATTATGCATGTGGGGACACGAATTAATAACAAGATACATTAAATTACAAAATATGTATAATAATGAGAGAAAATAGGTAAAAACGTTACTGATTCAAATCATTTTTCTCTGTAATTGGTTCAGGGGTATTTAACGCGTACCCTAGGCTTTGCAGAGCACGACGTACGTCTTTGAATACGCTGGGATCTTCGATTGTGGCAGGCAAAACTACAAGTTCGTTTTTAGCGAAATCGGCTAAAGCCTTCCGCATTGTCTTACCCGAACGTGTGCGGGGTAAGCCATGAACGGGAGCGGCTAAGCGGAATGAGGCTATAGGTCCCACGATATTGCGAATATTTTGAATGATTTCGGCAGCTACTTTTACATTTGACTTTGCACATTCGGCACGTGGAACAAAAAGGCATAAAGGAACCTGACCTTTGGTGGGTTCAGGTACGCCAAACACCGCGGCATCCATTACGTCCGGGTGGCGTAATACAGCGTCTTCTAAGCTAGAAGTAGAAATGCGATGACCAGCCACATTGATGATATCATCGTCTCGAGCCGTTACATATATGTAACCGTTTTCGTCTTTATATCCCGCATCCATAGTGTCATAATAACCCTTTACACGCGCATGCGAAGATAAATTTAAATTAAAAATTTACAAGTTTACGTGTGGAAACAGTAACTTAAGTTTACTTTACCGGATATTTACTAAAATAGATTTTCTTATATAATTCGTTGTTGCCATATAAAGTTGACATGTTACCGGGAGGTAAAGGTAGCTTGAGCACTATTCTTCCCAACTTGGAGGTTTGACATTCGGTACCGTCTGGTTGTAATATTTTAACTGGAAAGATAGAAAACATGCAAATCTTAAAGGACTCGACATTAGACACCTGGAATTATTGCTTACTATTGTAACCCACAAAAGGTAAACCAGTAGTGAACTTAGGTGGATTAAGGCTGTGTTTGAAGCCCATACAAGTGGCAGTAACGGCGGATCCAGTTTCTGTTTGCCACCAATTGTTGAGCACCGGAACTTTGAAGGTTTTCTCAATCCATCCTTTTGTCTCAAGATCGCAATGTTCGCCAGCAATAAAAATTGAACGCAAGGACTTCAAGGAATACTTTTTACCACATTCGCAATCAGGGTCAGTACGTCGTAAAACACGAAAAGCTGTAGGTACCGAAAATAGAGAAACTACACGATGTTGCTCTATTATCCTAGAAATATAATAGTTATAGTAAGCGGCGATTTGCTTCTGTTCTTTCGAAAGAATTCACTTTTGTTGTTTTACCTATAATATTGTTCTGCATCTGGTGTGCGGTCCGGTTTGCCTTCATACATAACACTTGTAGCGCCATATAATAACGGTCCATAGCATATATATGAGTGGCCCACTACCCAGCCCAAATCTGAGGCACCCCACCACACCTCGTCCGGATTAACGCCATAAATCATTTTCATGGTGTACATTAAAGTCACCAAATGACCGCCAATAGGCCGTTGCACGCCCTTTGGTTTGTCTGTTGTGCCTGACGTATATAGTATGTACAGAGGATCGTTGGCTTCGACTGGTACACAATCTACGGGTTCACCTAACACCTGCAGTACGTCCCAGTCAAGGTCGGTTTTCTCTTTCAAGGTGGAAGTCAGAATTTTGCTGCGTTGAAATATAACATTGCAAGTCGGCTTCCATTTTGATATACATAAAGCGTTATGCAAAATATCAAGATACGGTATAATTTTACCCGGCTCAACGCCACAGTTGGCCGCTATAATAATCTTAGGCTTTGCATGTTCGATGCGCGTGCATAGTTCATTAGCTGCGAAGCCACCAAACACTACCGAATGTATGGCACCAAGACGAGCGGTGGCTAACATAGCCACAATAGCTTCTGGTATCAAAGGCATATAAATTACCACCTTGTCACCACGCTTGACACCCAAGCTGGCGATACCGCCAGCCAGTTTATTTATCTAAATATTGATTGTGTGCAGATAATATTCATTGTAACGGAATGAAAAACAATCTCTCACCTTATCATACAATTCTTGATAGGTGACGTGACGTATTGTGTTTGTCAATGGACTGTCGTGTATTAAAGCCACTTTCGTACCTTTACCTGCCAATATATGGCGATCAACAGCATTGTAGCAGGCATTTAAGTAACCACCTGAATACCATTTGGTGAAGGGAGCGTTCGAATTATCTAAAACTGTATCCCACGGCTTAAACCAATCAACTAGGCGTCCTAGCTCATCCCAAAATTCTTCGGGATTTTCCAAAGATCTGCGATAACAGTCCATGTAAATGGGATCGTGAACATCGTCAGGTAAATCACCTGAAATTACAACAACAGTTAAAAAGACGAAAGAAGAGAACGGGAAAACTATGCTACACTATACTATTACTTTCACTAATGACAATATTTGATGAATTAATTAATAGCTAATTAATCATGCCTTGGCGTTTTCAACATTTGAAAGGGTTGACCTTAATTTATCAGAGTCTTTAAGCCGATAGCCTTAGATGCTAGTGCTTTTAAGAGTTTAGTCTTGGAATTTATTTCTGTGGCGAAATTAATAATAATAATAACAGAGTCTTTAAAAAATGTTTTTATGTGAAAAGATACTCTGCATAATTAAGTTACTTTGTTTTAATTTTTATTACAATTTTACAAAATATGGCAAACCAGATTTGCTTTAACAGAGTTTTAATGCAAAGTTCTACAGTTCGCTACGCTTAAAACGAACGGAAAGAGCGGCAACACAGAAATTAAAAAAAAAACCCGCTTCTTTTACGTCGCCAGAAGATGTAGGTTTTCTGCTTTATCACTCCAGTTCTAAAAACCAAATGCTTTCGGAGCATTTTTGATCAATAGATGACAATGGAAAGAAATTTGTTATTTGGCAGATAAAGGCATAACACTTGCCGGTTGAGTATATATCTTCTACACTGCGGCGGCACTCTCCCCTGTGTTCCCATTCACTATCTGTTTCCTCAGCAGTGCCATGTTTATACATGTGTAGGCAATATACCCAGAGTGACGACGGGTCATATTGGGAAAAACAAAAATTACTCTTTGTTGGATTCTGCACATCGAACTTTGAAGCGGGCTTAATTAACCCGTAATAATAATCGTATCAACTTCAAATTGACTTAAATAATTTGGTAACGTGGCGCTCGTTAAATTTTATGAAATTAAATCAAAAAAAAAAAAAATGCAAGGAGCTTTCTTTCTTAAGAAGACCAAAGTTAAAGTTTTACTTTGCACATTGAGCTCTCTTTAAGTAAAGCTAGGCCCACGTTTGGTTTCATTAAGTCGTGTTCCAAAGGATTCTCACATTACAAAAAAGCACGTGTACTTATTTAGATCAATGCTTGAGTGTGTCTCGGTGGCCCTCCTTTAAGTTGGCACCGGCTTGTCTCTTTCATTCCTTACGGAAATAGGCTGCTTCTGTTATCCTTACCATCACTTGAGAAACTTACATTTATTCTTCTTATCTCCTTCTTAATTAAGTTAATTAATGGTGCCATCGATTCATCCACATTACTTTGTAAGATAAACTTTAATACCCATAACCGTTTCTCTAGGCACTTTATGTTCCTTAAGCTGAGTCAATGTATATATAAGTATGAGCTGTTTAACCCGTTTAGAGTTGTTTGCAGAAACTTAAGTGATGTTTATCACTTAATCTCAATATCGGATTCATTAAAGTCTCTCAAAACAACTTTGCTTAACACGAGCGATTTGCCTAAGTCGTATTTAAACTAACTTTTAATCGTAACATCTCATTATGATTCGAAAATTAATTGATTTTGTTTACTGTGTCGGTTGCCAAGCTTTTGCATGTTTGCGATGGCTTAGGGGTTCGCTTGCAATTTGGTTCTGTACTGGTTGTGGGTGTGCCTCTCTGCTAGTTGTGTACATGCTTCTTTTCTTTCTCTTTCTCTTTCTTTTTTTTCTTTCTTAATTATTTATACACGAATTATAATTTAATTATTATTAATATTTTTGTTTCTTTACTTCTCCTTATATACTATGTATTAGTTTCTAATATTAATTAGTATAAGATTTACTTTTAAGAGGCAATTGAATTCGCCTATTAATTTATTTTAGTTGAGTTTCATGTGTGAGAAAATAAAAAAAAATAAAAGCCGCATACAGTAATAATGTTTTCGTCTGCAGGATGTTAATATTAAATGTAGCGAATTTGTAAATTGTTAATATGCGGTAAAGTAACAAGAGTTCTTTTAAATAAGAAAAATATGTTTGTCATAGTGGCGCGTCTTTAACATTCAATCAACGATTAGAGTAGTGTTCTTGTTCACCAACCCATATCGATCCAACCCATAAAGATCATAGAGAGACCATAGAGGGTGTGTGAAGTTCGTTCTTTATACATAATGGAATTCAGTGCAAAAGATCTTGTTGGAAAGGTTTAGCCGCCAATGAATACACGTACACACAGACATCGAAATTTAAAACAATTTAAGTAAACAATTAATTGATAGAAAAACAAAAAAACTATTTTATTAAATTCGATCATTAAGCAAATTATTCAAGCACTTGATTAAAGGAAACACCGCGCTTCTCTTCTGTTTAAAGCAAAAAGGCAGCAGGGTATATGATCCGTACATCTTCTTTCTCTATTCCTAATAAGTTGCTAAAAATTGACTTAAATACTCTTTCGAGTATGGAATATAAGCTAAAAGTCATTGTTGAACGCTTCTTTTTGCTACTTTCGTGTGAATGTCTTCGTAAAATTATGGACCATGGACCATGGGTTCTCTGAAATATTAACAGATTTGTGCTTTCGTATTTAGATAAACTTCCAATAGTGAAAACGAGACGTAAGTGTGTTTTGTAAGCAATTTTGTGTCGCTCACCGAAAACTTTTCATTTATACAATGGCTTTTTGAACTTTGTAATGCTGTAAATGCGTTGTAAAAGAATACAATGCTGGTTTGTCGAACGAATTATAATTTTCTAATTAGTTTGAAAAATGCACTATAAATGCACTGAAATGCAAATTTGTGAAAGCTTAGGGAATGTTCTCTATACGCCTATAAGAAGCGGCAGTAGTTAAGAAGAAAATGGTGGCAATGAGGGATAGAGCGCGGCATTAGTCGGGGAGGTGTATGCGTGATCCATTAGTGTTATATCTTTATCGATCGAGCATTCGCTATAGCTGCGGTCTAAAGCTCGTCATTGCCAAAGTATGATTTACCGCATGGGAAATTAAGGCCGAATATACCGACTTGATATTCGCATTGCCTATCTATTAGGCCCTAGTGATATTTTCAGGATGAACTGAGAGCGAAAATTTCATTAATGAGCTTGTTCTTCGAGAAGAAAATGACTTTTTTCAAAGATATTAAAATTTAAAAATTGAAACGAAAAATATATTTCATGTTATGATTATTAAAATTGACCAGAGAAATAAATACTAAAACTAACGGGTTAAAGTTCTATTGAAAACTCTAAACCCTCTACTCCATTTTCCGTTTTATCATTAGATTTAGATAAGCAAAATGCGTTTTTGTGCGGCGATTGTATCCATTACAGATCAGGTCTAGAGGTACGAAATGACAAGAGGTTAAGTGAAACCACGTGTTTGATGAGGTGCATGTCTGAACTTCGGTTCTTTTTTTATAACTTGGACATGGCAGCGGACGAATTACAAATTAGTAGTCAAGTAGGCAAGTAGCGTAACCGAAAAATTCTTTTTCTAACAACAAAAATTTCCAGTCTTGTGTCAGATAAATGATTCAAATGAAAACCTTTTTTGCATCGTGCTGATAAGTGAAAAGATCATAAGTAGACTCTGGCAGGAAGACAATGCTCTGCGTTTGGTGGGGGACGAGTAGCTTGTGCTCTATTATTAGCTGTTAAAGACTAATGCTACACGAACTAACAAAAATTAATCGGATTGAATCCTTCGCTGCTTAATACAAGAAGAGCAGCAGAAGATAATTGTTTATGCGTTGCCTTGCATCAATTCATTCGCAATACTTTGGAGACACTCAAGGACAAAGTACTTGACCATCCTTCCGATCATCCCGTGTTCGCATCTATAGCTCACACATTCAATTAGTAGCACTTCGACTTGTTCGAATATGTGTAAGGGTGGGGTTTCTAAAGGCTCGGTAGTCACAAATTGATCGAAAAATGGAGAAAATGCAGAACTTGCGATAAAGCATACTTCGGACATGAAGTGATGGACGTGAGGCATTTTTTTTTTCTTTAAATGTAAAGTTGACAAAAAACTAACTATTAAAACACTTTGTTAACTGCATTCTATACACGTGAAGAGTTAGTTGGTTAGAACTTTCAACCATCGTAAGTCATATCAAACAGTGTAACTTAAGTTTAGGGTCTTTTCATTGACTTCCGGGATATTAAATAAGCTAACGTAAATTCAAACCTAGACTGCTGGCAACAAGCATGTGGAAGTTCGGAACAGTGAAGCGTGGTGGCAAGTTTCACTGGGTATGTTGCTTCTTCGAGGTATTTTACAGGGATATGCATAGAGAGATATGCATTTTTAAATGCCTCGGAATAAGTTATAAAAATGCCTTTAACGTCAAATTTAAATATTTCGCTGATTTCTGAGTTGTTAGACATACGCTGTTGAATAACAATCTGTTACATCTAAGGCTTTTAATAGTGGGATAAACATTTCAAACAAAGACAATCAAACACACTTTTTAACAACCATTACGTGTTAGCCGTAGTTTTAAATGAAAGAAAAACAAATTTTACTTAAGCTGAGCGTAGTCAGCGCAATTCAAATGAGCAAAATGTTTATATAACGAGCACACAACGTGTTGATCAGCGGAATTTTTTATTAAGCGTTCAAGTTATAAGCAATTCCGATTGTCAACACGATATATGCAGGGCCATGCACAAATGAAATAATGATTTATGAGCAAAGTTCGCAAAGAGGAATATAATTAAATATTTGTTAGGGCATGAAAACAATTAAACGCTAAAATCTATTATGGGTGTGATCATTTCAGATCGGGAATCATTTGCAATCAAACCTAGTAGATGCGAATTAACTCAATCTTATTGACTGCATTTTATCTGTCATCCTATTAAAGTTTAATTACTTTTTTCTTACTTTCATCTTGAATATAGAATTTTGATATATGAAATTTTTTTTTTTTTTTTACCATGTAGTGCTTTCTTCCGTATGCATACATTACACTTTCATTAATAATCAATGAAGTGTTTTAATATAGGAGTGACTTTGACATATTAAAAAATTAAACGAAATTTCAACGCAGTGTCACATAATTGATTGAAAGTTCTCTTGTATCGATCACATATAGAATTTTATAAAAATATTCAAATCAAATTTATAATTCCTCTAGAATTAAGAAGTTATTGTCATTTTTTCAGATTTTAGCTAAAAAGAGAAAATAAATAAAAAACGATCTCTGCTCTCGCTTGAATTATGAAAAAATTTCGAATGAAAAATTAAAACAAACTTACAAACGTTAGATGATCCCATACTTTTATAATTTATTTTAGATTTTTCAATGATTTGCTTTAAAATATTTTTGTTCTTAATTTATTTCTTAATGCTCTTTAAATGCTATATATTTTTTTTTTTTTTTTTTTGATTTTTTTAATCCTTCTTTCCTTTTTTTTTCACAGTTCCAAAAAGCAAACATTAACTTATTAACATTTAATTCACTTGACGCCTCTAATATATTGAGCAACCAGCACAGTGAAGTCCATGTAGAACACTAAACCTTTAGGGTAAAATTAAAATCCACATGCTACTCAGTTAACACGTCTATCCGAATAATGTAGCGATCGCGCTTAAATTTATGTCAAAATCAATTTTCGTTTCACTTGTTTAAATTTTTAATTTGCATAAATTATCTCAAACGTGAAAATAGACAAAATTGAAAACACTTTTGTTTTTGCTTCTTACAATCTCGAAAGATTCCTGGGATTTGCGTTTTTTTCAGCCATTTGCGCTCTTTACTAAACTAACTACTTATCCTCAACTAAATGAGTTACATTTTTTAATGCTTTCAAATTCAGAGTAAAAAAAATCCGTAGGTACACAATTAAAAAAAAAGAATAAATAAATAAATAAATAAATAAAGAAAAAAGTATCTGTGGAACTTGAAATATTTTAATTAATATATGGAATTGTGCTGTGGTAAAGTGTTTAGTTCAAAAATAAATAAATTCAAAGTAATACGATATAATCGCGAAACAACAAGCTGGCGCACTTAAAGGGATTGCAAAGGGCTCTGTACGAATATTATGTGTACCCTAAGCAAAAAACTAAAAAAGGAACGAAGGGATAGGACCGCAGCAATTAACAACCAGTGCTTGTTATCTTACTTACTGTCTCTAAGAATTTTTTCATGAAATAGATTTTTTTCTTTTGTTTAAATTCATAAAAATTTTATTCTATTTTAGAAAGCACTGCCCGATTCATTATCGTTTGCAGTTAGTGTTTTCGGGCTGCATTCGACATATTACGTTAGATTAACGGTTTATGACACACTTTGTTGTTTATCTAAACCGCAATATAACAGACAATGTTTAGGTTAGTTGGTAGACCTTTCGCCCCTCAAAAATAGCTGCACATATGGATTGTCACAAAATAAATTTTGTTGCAGTTTGCATATAGAATTCTTTCCCAAGTACTTCACCGTTGGCTAATTTATTCGATATATATATAATTATATATATATATGTATGTTTATTCGTATATATATATGTATATTTCAATGACGTATTTTAATTAAAACAACATTATTTACATATTTATATATAGAACTTTGGATTAATAGAGAGATTTTTTGTATATTTAATTTACTTATATTAAAAGGTATATTTTTATTACAACATCAAATATATTATAGAACCGTAACAATAAAATCTTTGAAATAAAATCGAAATTCAAACATTGCCTTTATACTGCGATGCAGCTTGCTTTGTAGCGCTACAATTATAATCGTTTCATGCTTTATTCGGCAACTGCTGCATTGCTTCCCCAAAAAACTGTAACCATCATGGTTCAAATCCAAAATTTACACTAAATGATTTCAATACATTGAACTACAATATCTCTATTATGATCTGCTGCTACAAAAACAGCTGACTTTTGTTTGCACATAACAAGCGATCTCATTTCCACAGGCAAACTTTATAACATTATTATAACAGTATTTTGCATACGATATCCAACTCTTCATAAATGCAACGTTACATGCTTGTGTAAGTGTCCATTTCAATTGTTTACGAATAATGAAAATTGCGAAGATAAAAGCATGAGGGTCACGCATAGCTGTGGTTCACTCAATACACAATGTGAAACGGGAAAAAGGAAATCGAACGCACGCATCCAACCATCCGATCATAATAATAATGATCGTCAACGCTTCCCTTTGTTAAAAAAGGAAAAAATTTATTAAAACGATTTTTATGCGTTGTATCGTCTCATACACACACGTAAACTTTACAGTGAGCGGATCGCATTCGAATGCATTATTCTCTCAAAAAAGAGCTTCGCGAAATTTCAGATTTCGACCAAACTAATATTTACATTTCTATTCTACATATAGATAATGGAAAAAAAAACATCAAAGCGGGCAATAAATTCATAATAGAAATGTTTCGGTATATGACTAAATCAGACAGAAAATGCATGAAGAAAGCTTTTTCACTTGGGGCGAATATAGCGCTAACACGCAATTAGTTAATGTCTTACCAGACCCGGGCAACATCGTGGGTTGCACAGCTTTCCTGGCGTTTGAAAAGAATTGCGTCAGATCTGGGATTTTTTTAGGTCTCTTTACCAAAATGGTATTTGAATTGTTACGAAGCGAAAATGAAACCAACAAAAGAACTATTAAAATTAAAATATTTTATAAAGCAGCCGCATTGAAAACAAATTGAACCTTTTATTTTGATCACGAAGTCAAAACAACTGTATTATTGATGCAGTCACCGTAAGAGTCCAGGGTACACAAGTCGAGTAATAAAAACTTTCAGAGACATAAGGTTACTTTTCGTTTTTAACACAACCTAAAAGTTCCAAAGTTTAGTATATTTAGACAAAATTGTCCGTACATGTCCTCCCCGCACACCTCTAAGCCACCAGAGTAATGGTAACAAAGTTTAGAAAATTAACGCAATTTCAGTTTTTTTCGCGGTAAGCCTTGAACATAGTAATGAAATTAAGTGTTTCTGGTCGATTTCGGCGTCCTTTTTAAATGTATTGAACAACTGGAGTTGTGTTAACTCCTTACCTTTTTTTTTGTTATTGCTGTTGTCAATAGGACGTAAGCCTATTTGTTGAGAAGTTGCTACCATTCAGCGGCTAAACAGCGGCTGGCAATTTGAATGACAATATTCTGTAACTTTTACGATACGAGCGCATAAGTTCCGGTAAATGTAAACTTGTGAATTCTTTATTCGAATGATTTGGTAAATATATCCCTTCGTAGCACTGGTTAAATTGACAATCCGTATATTATATATAGGGAAATTTTTCTAATTTTTACACCCACCACTGTAAGATAAAGATACACTTATTTTGGTTTTTTCCCAAAATATATTTAAGATGCAAAAGAAAGCTTCGGCGATCATATAAAGTATATATACTCTTGATTAGCGTCAAATTCATTCATTCGTTTATGTAATGTAATCCATGTTCTACGCTTGTTTGGTAAGTCATTCAGCATTGCGATTATAATTATAATTTAAGGATACTAATTGCTTCTAACATTTTTCTAGCTGGTCCTTATCAGGATAGGTATTATTACTACTTTCTAGTTGCGCCCGTCGCCAAAGGTGAGCATTTTCAGGATGGTTCAGATACAAAATATGTATATGCTTGGCCAGCAGCAAATTTTGAATCGACTTAAGTCTGTTTGTCGTCTATGGGTCTGTTTGTACAACATCTTCTGGCTGCTAAAGTTGGGTTGTTGGTCTCACACATTGCAAAAATATTAGAAGTTCTTATAGGCAGGTTGATATTGAGAAGACGGGGGCGAAATGGGTAGAAGCACACGGCTACAGTACCACGCACACGGAGGAAATGTGGAAAAATAAATTGCATTTTTGCTTACAGTGCAGATAAAAATATAGAAATATATCCCTATATTCTATGGGCGATTTCATGGTAGTTGTAAAAGGAGGAAAAAATCACCCCCGGTTATCATGTTTTATAGTGTATCAAAATTTCATTTTTTCCGAAAACGAACTTCAGAAACCCATAAAATAAATATATGCGATCTTGACGAATGACAAAGTCGTAACGCATCTTAGTATATGCGTCGGTTCGCCGATTCACTTACCCGTCCGCTATTCATTGTAATACATGTGAGAAACATTTTCCTGTTTGCAAAAATGAAGATGACATCGCCCTTCCTTTTAGCAAAAAAATTTTAAAACGGCTCTAATCGATTAAAGTACTTGCCTACAATGCAATGTAAATTCAGAAAATCTTTGCATCCCGTGTTGTTACCCGTTGCTCATTTACTTAAGCTGTTGCAATTTATTTCAAAATTAAATTTTTTAGTTTCTTTCAATCTTTTCTACGATAACGATGATGGGTATAAGAGATTCAGTCTTAGCCGAACCCAATTTTCTTACTTTTTTCTTCTTCTTTTTAGTTAAAAATTAAAAAGAAAAGGGAACTCTTAGATCTTTAATACTTTCTCTCTAATTAAATGGTGGAGTAGTTTTACGGCACAATAAATTTTTTCGTGTGTAAGTCAAGTCATCCGTTTATTTATTCATTATACGAGCGGAGGTTTTTATGAAAACTTTGCTCGGTACTGGCAATGACTGACAAGTCTCTGTGCATTGCGGTTTTCTTTTGGTAACTTTCTCTCTTCTTCTTTTGTTTAATAGTTTCTTTATGAATAATAAGTCAAGCGCATCGAAAAGAGATTGAAATGATTTTTTTTTTTTCATTATCATTATAAAAAAAATGGTTTTTTGATTCTAGTTGAAAAGTAAAGCTACTTAAAAATAAAACGATCCGGCAAAATTCATGGCCTGAATAAAAATTGCTTAATTACTTGCAATAAATATGATATTGATTTACTTTAAAGTGAAAGAAAATAAAATACAGAAATATATTCAAATAAGAGCACAGGGAACAAGTTTAATTTATTGTTAAATTTTCAGTGAAATAATATTAACCTTTCAATCTCTTTTTCTTTTTGCAGAAGGAAAATTTCCACTGCACATGTTACGTCATCCACTAATTTCAGTTTAGTTGCTATACCATGATTATGTTATGAAGTTTAGATTTTATTTTGAAAAGATTTTCTTGTACGAGTTTTTTTTATCTTACTTTTTGTGAGTTCATAAAAGAAATTTTCATAAAGGAAAAAAAAGGACTCTTCATGAAGGTTTAACTTGTGTTGGTTTCTTTTTCTTTTTGAACCTCTCATCGGGCGGTGTATTAGTGACGGTGTACCAAAATTTTTATTCCATTTGTAGCATTCGGACATCTTGATTAAGCATCTACTCAAGTACATCTCTGATCAGGATTTTCCTAAATACTTTCCGCAGAAAGGATTTGTAATAAACTTGCTGATAGTA